CAAGAGTTTAGAAAATGTAGACTTTGTAAAATCAATTCATTTATTTCATTTTTGATAGTTCAAATGCTTTTGAACATTGGTTAACACAAGAATGTACATGGCTTACACGTAACTTGGTAATGTCCATTACCAAGATGGTTACCACGTGTAAAATATTACTAAATATCAATATATTTTGGTCCAAGTTTATTTTTGTTATCAGTCATCTTTAATTATTATATTCGTGGGAGAAAAGAAACGATATCATTAGAAAAGTAAGGATCATACTTTTTATTTGTATAATAAATATTACAACATTACGGTTAGTTGCAACACAAGTTGCAACACCGTAATACCGTAATTTTACATTACAGGTGCCAACTCTAGTTGGAGGATATTTAGAAATTGAAATTGATGATGATTTTGAGTGGTTTGATAATGAAATTAAAAAAATGCTGAGTCCCTTTAAGGATACCGGCTGCAACTTTTGATGATGGTTGCTACCATCTTTGCGTCATATAAAAATGATTGCAACCACTGGTTGCAACCACCTTTACAACCATTTTGTTTCCTTTTTTGGATTGCGACATGGAACACTAATTAGCATATTAAAGTCAATCATAATAGTTTAAAACCAAGCACCCAACCTTGTAAATTTGCTACAAAAGAATTAATTGTTTATTAATTTGTAAAAATCTTTATTTTATGAATATTTACATTTATTATCATCAAAATCTGAGCTAATTCTGCATGATGCAAAAGATTGGTTAAAAGCAAATGTTTGGATTTTTTTTTTTGTAAACTAATGACATTGTGATATATGTATAAAAAATTAATAAATTTTATTTCCGTTTAGTTATTTATTCTTTTACTTTTCTTATTCTTGATGTTCTTCCAACTGCGCATATAGAATATGAACATAACAGTTCTGAATCTCTCCAATTACAATAGAGTTGAGTCTTTTCTATAAGGACTTTAGATCTAGAAATTTCAATTTTTTTTAAAGTTTTCTATGGAAAGATACTATAATCAGTAAAGATCATAAAAGTATATCACTAAAAAAAAACATCTATTTACAACAAACCTCAACCCTTAATAAAAATGTCACCATTCTTTCAAGAATTGGTATCTGGACAAGTGATTGAGGGAGCTTGATTGTTTTGAGTAAATTAAGATGCCAGGTATTTTTAGCCTTCCAATCCATGGCATATACATTATAATTGTAACCTAGAATATTTTAAAAAAAAATTAGTTTTAGTGTCTTCTCTAACAATCTTAAAAAAACTGCAAACTCCTAATGTGTAGATTTTTTTAAATATTTTAGAACTGACTGTGATTTTCCAGACCCAGACACTTTACCTACACCCACTTTACTGACAAGACACTTTACCAACAACACACGACGTGATATTTTAGCATTTTGTTACAGTCAAACCTCGCCACAGCGGATTCATGGTTCCAACCAAAAAAATCCGTTATGACGAGAAATCCGCTGTGGAAAAATTGGTGATGATCGGCAAAAAATTTTTTAATAATAATAAATAAATAATACAATTAATAACATAATAAATAATACATGCGGAAATTAAAAATTATTTGTTGAAATAAGATGTAATATTTGGTTGTAATAGTTTTTCATTATTTAATAATCTCACTTTTCTTTTCAATGATTTAAATGCTTTAAATTCTTTATAATCTATTTCTAAATCGCCTTGTTGAAGAAAATTAAAAGCTGTCTCAAAGGCATTTACAGCATCTTTTGTTGAAACTTTAGGTATAGTGTTATTCTCAACAACAACTTCTTCTTCTGGATTGAAGGAGGCGATTATTTCTTCTTCTGTCACCATTTCATTATGGCTTTGAAAATCATCAATGGTAATATATTCTTCTGCTTCTAATGGGGTGGCAAATGATAATTGACTAATTAAATTATGAACATCATTCCTTTCTCTATTTGAAATCTCTTCAGCTATATTTTCAATTTCACTATTAGATATTGCATTTTCCAAAGGGAGAATTCCAGTTTTCCTCCAACAATTGATAATTGTAGCTGATGTTACATTATCCCAAGCTTTCTTAACAAAATTTATCACATTCATTATATCAATCGATTTTGATAAAGATATAGCAGGATTAGGGTTTTGTGAAGACGTAGGATTAAGATATGAAATATGTGAATCATAATTGCTTATTTTTTTTTCAAGTAGTAGTTTTCTGTAGTGTGCCTGTAATATACAAACATTAGTAAACATAAAATAAATAAATAATTTAAATTAAATAATTGAATTGGCTAACCTTGAAGCTGTGAATTATTCCTGCATCACATGGTTGCAGATGTGCAGTTACATTTGGTGGAAAATGATGAACCCTTATGTTTGTTAATTGTAAATCTTCAGTCAAACTATGTGTTGGTGCATTGTCAACAAGCAATATTATATTCCTTTGTTGAGTTCTCATTCTTGTATCTAAATTTTTAAGATACTCATTCCAGATTGATATTTGCATCCAAGCCTTACTATTCCAATAGTAATCTACTGGTAATGTTTTTTTATCAATTCCTCTTAAAGGCCGTGGAGTTTGAAATTTATGTATGAACAAAAGAGGCAATTTCTCCGTTCCAGTTGCATTGCATGTAAGTAGAATTGTTACTCTATCTTTGTCTTGTTTTGTTCCTGAAAGTGGAGCAGTTGACAATCCATGTGTTGGTTCCATTTTCCAAAAAAGACCAGTTTCGTCACAATTGAAAATATCATTAAGTTGATATTCTTTAAGAATATTTTGCAAGTCTCTTCTCATTTCTGGAAGTTGTTCAAGAGGAGCACTTTGTGCTTCACCATGTTTAGAATATTCACGGATTGAATATCTTTGTTTGAAATTAGTTAACCAACCAGAGGAACCACTAAAATCTTGATTATTTAACAGCTCTGCAAATTTCATGCCTTTTTGTTTGATAATGGAATCTGTAATTGTTAAACTGCATTCAAGAGCTTTTTCAATCCATAAAATTAAAGCTTCTTCAATATTGGTAAATGGAGCAATAGATGGTCTTTTTAATTTTGCTTGATAGGAATTTGGATCGATTTTAATCCATTTGTCAGAATCCTTTAATATATCACTAACTTGGCTTGTACTGATTCCAAATTGGTTTGCTAATTCAATATTTCTTGGTTCAGGTTTACTTTTTTTCAACATACATAATTCGCGTTTTTGTACTGCAGTAATATATACACGTTTTTTGGAGGAGGATGATTGTTGAGACATTTTAAATAATTTTTAATTGTATAAAAAAATTTTTTTTTTTGATTTATAGGATTATTTTTAACATTTTAATCAATGGAATTTATTTTAATTTATACATTTTGAAAATTGACTTTATTATGAATCTTTGGAAAAATGATCTTGTTTTGTTTTATTGTTTAGAAACTTTGAAAAAATTGTTACTCGCAAATATTTGGACAAATAATCTATCAATTGTTGGTTTATTAATTTATTTTAGAAACTTGTTACTTGCAAACATTTGGACAAATAACCTATCAATTGTTTGTTTATTGATTTATTTTAAAAAGTTGTTACTCGCAAACATTTGGACAAATAATCTATCAATTGTTTGTTTATTGGTTTATTTTAGAAACTTGGAAAAGTTGTTTTTAAAATTCATGGATAATAATCTATCTATTGTTTGTTTTATTGCTTTATTTTAATACTGACCTTTGATTAAAAATAATCTATTTGATTGTTTGTTTTATTATTTTACTTGAAATTTTTGTCAAATCGGGAAAAGAAAATTTTTTTTTACATTTGTTTATCAATTTTGGTAATTTGGATAATTTCATAAATTTATATGTCACGTGAATCCGCTGTGACGAGATTAGTAGCCATATAGAAAGACCCCCATCCACAATCCGTTAACGTTGTGGAACAAATTTATTAATAAAATCCGTTATGGCAAACATTTTTAATTAATAAAAAAAGGGGCCAATATTTAAATCCGTTGTAACAAGAAATCCGCTGTGGCGAGGTCCGCTGTGACGAGGTTTGACTGTACATGCAACATTAATATTAATGTGAACCACCCTGCTATATAAATCAGGCAGGATATTACCTCTGGAAATTCTAATAATATACCATATTCTTGGGAACTATCATGGAAAGATCCGCCAGCTCAAACAATCTATTAGATGGATTATTAAATAAATATATATATATATATATATATATTATGGAATGGACATGCCAAAAAAATTTTCGATTCCATATAAAATTCATCAAGTAGTTAAGGAGAACTTGTATGTATGTATTGTATATGCTCAATTTAAACTTTAAAATAATTTTTATGGGATTGGTTATTTTATTATTAACAAATTTGGATTTCCTAGTACTAGCATTTTTAATATGGTCATCGTATGACAATTGGATATTAATCACAAGGATGAAACAATAAATTATAGAAAACATTAATACAATTTTTCAATTGTAACAATAAATGATGTTAATATTGCCTTGAAATAATTGTTCTGCTTATTAATTGACTCATTTTACATTTTTTTTAACTTGCATGTTTATTTTTTAAAAAGATTGATGATCTGAAGCAATTTATAGAAACTGATAATGATGATAGTGAAGATGAAGTTTGGCAAATAATTCAACGGAAAAAACCACATCTGCATCTGGAACATTTCGTGAAACATAGTATAAAAAAAAAGAATAAATAAATATTCAATTGGTAGAAAATATTTTGGAAAGATTGGTCAAGGCTTTAAAAATAGGGATGAGAACGATTGAACCGCGATTCAGTTCAACCCGCGATTTAATCGGTTTGACCCGAACCACAGTTCAAACTCTCGCAGTTTACATATTATTAAATACCACGTGTAGCTTGGGTTTTGTTTAGTGATAGAAAAACCTTAGCCGGCTAAGAACTTAATAAATCCCAAAAAACCTTTTCAGATGGTATTAAGCTTGCTGGTATTATTATTACTACTACTATTGTTATTATTATTACTATTATTTTACTATTGTTATTATAATATCTCTCCTTTAATGGTTCAAATTATTTGTTTCATTCGTTCTATTCGAATTACATTGAAAGTTTTATTCGAATAAACGAATAAAATGAATAAAACAAATAATTCGAATAGTTTGAATAAACGAATAATAATAATTCAAATAGTTCGAATAATTCGAATAAAAACGAATAATAATAATAATAATTCGAATTAAAATAAGAATTTGTATTACGAATAGAAACTTTGACTTTTATCCTGATATGATGTATTGTATGTTTTTTTTGTCATCCCAAGTAATGTAGGTGGACCCATCTCAATTAAATGTTTATACCATTGAATTCTGCACTAAAATTCTAGACGTGCAAAAATTAAAGCAGAAATTTTTTTTGCCGGCTAAACCAATAAATTTCTTGGCCGGCTAACATCACTAGTTTTGATAAATATTCAAAATTTAATGTTTCGTGCTTGAGTAATAAATAATAAAATCAAACCTTAACATTTGATAATTGCTTTATTAATTATAAATACTATTAATATAGTTGTGAAAATTTACATGCATATATATTCTTGAGATAAACTGATATAAATTTATTTTTATTTTTAATAAAAAATTTGAATCGATTTTTTTATATTCATCTATAAAAAAAAATGTATGAAACCTAAAGTGCAAAATGATTCGAGTAGTTGGTGACAACACAGATAAATAATAAAAACAAAAGCCTAGACTTTCATATGTAGATGATAATAAAATCAAATTTTGAGAAATTAAATTTTGCATAAATATTTATCAAAACTTAATTCGTGCTCCGTGAGACAACTGCATAATTCTATTATAATAGTCACACCACATATCAGAATTTTGTACACAAATATTTATGTATGTCGTACGGCATGATTTTAGCAGATTAATAATGATTTAATCAAGCGAAATATAAGATACAAGAATAATAATCACAAGTAATGATTTCTTATGGTAGAGTTGCAAGGGAGAGAATGTATGGCCCCTAGACCATGAATGTACGCCCCTATACTTTGGCTCTACCAGGTGAAAACTATTTATTATCATTAATTATTTCGTTGATATAATTATCTTCGTTGTCATTAATATTACCACCACCACCACCACTACCACTACTTATAAATTTATCTTTAGTTTTAAGTGCAATCCAAGCCTTTATCACGTCTATGGTTTTGGTAC